GAAGACTACACGCTTACAAGGGAACCACCCGAGGTCGAGGTGGCGTTTCGTTATGGGACCCAGCCCATTTTGTGCAAAATTTTTCGCTGATTCCGAATCCGCTGTTCATTTTTGCCAAATAGCTCATTTTAAAAAGTTATAGCGCTTCAAAGTTCCATTTTTTCCCAAATTTGTTAACTTCAAAGCCATTTATTTTGCATTTCTCGGCTGATTCATCAAAAACGAATATCGCCATCGTATTCAGAAAATTTTTCTCTATCGAATGAGCTATTTAACTCAAATTTGTTGGAAATCGAAAAAATCGACGATACTTGGTATGGACTCCGATTTTTGTATGGGAAATGGTGAAAAACAGGCTATTTCACTCTCCCATAAGTGATCGTCGATAGGCAGTAGCGCAATAATCAAATATACCATTCGAATCAGAAAAAAATTCTCTACAAGATAGGCTATTTAAAATGGACTGACATATTAAAACAAAAAGGTTGGGCATCGTGACAGATGACCGCCCGCGGGCTCAAATATGATCTTAAAACCGCCGTAACTTTTTAAATAGGGCTATTTGGCAAAAATTAAAAGCAGGTTCGGAATCAGCAAAAAATTCTGCACAAAATAGGCTGGGTCCCATAACGAAACGCCACCTCGACCTTAGGTGGTTCCCTTGTTAGCCATACAACGATGCCAGAAAGGAAAGATGCGACAAGGATTGACTACCTCGAAAAACCCACCACAATCAGCTCTGTTGTCTCTATTTTAAAGTCAAAGCGACAAAATTGCTAAGTCAAAAAGATTCCAAAATCTTCCTAGTTGGCCAAAAAGTACCGATCGTTTTGAAAAAAAAGCCTGTGGAAAATGGTTATGTTGCCGCGTTGCTGGGGTAATTTGGGATTCTAGGATATACCTTGAAGCATGGACACTGTCTTATTGCCCGAAAAAAAGTATCTGAAGCCGTTTTGTGAAGCTGCCGCTCGATTAATTTAGCCACCCGAAGTGGATATGTTCCGCCGGTTTTAAGGAGCCCAGCAATGATATGCGGCTCAGAAAAATACTTTAAGCGATCGTATACTACCACAAGGCCGGCTGCATCAGTGCCAGTCAAGAAGCACACTAACAACGTATTAGAAATGGAACACTACACTTGGAGAACGATTGAATCCGAAAAAAAAAGCGAAAAGCAGCTGCTAAAAATGACCGGACCGTTTCGAACACGGCGCCAGACATTCTGAGCTGTGCTGTTTCGGTGGGCGTTTTTAAATACAGCGCAAAAAGCTAGTAAAAATTATTAACCTGCCCCTCGACGAAGGCCGAAAACTGAGCAAGATCATAAACTGCCCCTAAAGAATCTAATGAAGCTGCAGCTCAAGAGAGTTGAACCAGCGCAAGGTCCGGCTAATAGCACTGTGCTGCCGCGTTGTGAACTGGAGGATGGATTCGAACAGTTACGAAAAATCCAAGAAGCAATTATTCTCAGGAATGACGGAGGATCCAAGTAGGAAAAGAAGTACCTGCTCAAAGGAAAATATTGGAAGCAAGCTACGTAAGGCAAAATCTTTGCTGCTGTGCTGCAATTGGGAATCAACCCGAAAGGCATTGAGAAAAAGATTTCAAAATCTCTCCCTAAATGTCCAAACTGGACTGATATTTTGGAGCAAAGCGCGTAGGCAAGTGGATGTGCTGCATCGATGTGCAGTAATTTGGCATTCTGCGATGAACTAAGCAAAAACGAAAACTGTTTTGTCGAGCAAAACATCATCCAAAACAGTTTTGAGAAGCTGGTGCTCAAAAAAACTGGCAATTTCTTGAGTCTCTGTTTTGCCGTACTTAAGAAGCTTGCTAAAGAGATGCTGCTCAAAAGAAACTACTTTAAGCGACGCGGTCCGCTGCATGAGTTAGAAATGGAACCAACTCTTTGAAAACGAGTCAAACCCTAAAAAAGTGCAAAAGCAGCTGCTAAAAATAAGTGGACCGCCTTGAGCACGACGCCCAGCCTTCTCAGCTGTGCTGCTTCGATGCAAAATTCAAATACCAATCGACGAGCCAGTAAAAATTATTTATATACACCACGTTAAAGCTTACCACCGGAAAAAGTTCTCTTAAGAGGTCCTAAAGAATTTGATAAAGCTGCAGCTCAAGAGAATTGAGCGAGCGCAAGGTCGGCCTGATAGGCCTTTGCTGCAGCGTTGTAAACTTCAGAATGGATCCGAAGAGGTATTAAAAAACCAAGGAAGCTATTATTTATCAAGAACGACGGATTATGCAAGAAACTGGAAACCAAGTTTCTGCTCAAAGGAAAATATTTGAAGCAAGTTACGTCAGGCAAGAGCTGTGCTGCCGCGGGGCAACTATGATAACGAACGAAAAAGGTTGGTAAAAGGCGACCGATACCGATTAGCAAGGACCAAGATCTGGCCTCGTCAACAAGTGCTAACGAATCGAATAAAACCAATTGAGCACGAGGACAGACCGCAAATCCTGTGTCGCACCGGGACTAAATGCAGGGAAAAATCAAAGACCACCACGACAGTGTGCACATGGAAAAAATTCCATAAGGATCCAAAGCTGTTTGTGCGCTGTTGCTAAAAATATATAAGTAGCCCAAGCCAAAGGAACAACCGACAGGAACTTTCTTTATTGGCGCGGTTCCAAATTCGGTAGCCACTCAGCTGAATATAAAAGTAATAGAAGATCCATATCCGCAACAACCGAAATCTAAGGAGCACCCAAAGGAGCTGTTGCTAAAAACGGTTGTGGGAAAAACATAACTTGGCAAGCGCTGTGCTGCGATGGTGCTAAATTGAGCACGAGGTCACGCAGGTATTAGAAAGTTGGCAACACTGTCTTCTGGCTGCGATACCGACATCCAAGAGCCGCAGAATCACCGGATGGAATAACGAAGTCACCTCGCTACATCAAGCCTTCGGAGGGGCCAGACTGTACTGCGACGATGTAAAATTGCAAGGATCAAGAACTTGTGCCTGGGACTAGTACCAAGATATCACCACAGGAGATGTGGCAAAAAAGGTCAGGGACGTCTGAAAAATGGGAGGTCTCAGCGGAGGCAAAACATGGAATGCGAAAACACCACCTCACACGTATTCAATTTTTGCTAAAGCACCAACGACGGTTTAAATTTGTGAAAAAGCAAAAACAAAAAAAGAGCCGTTTTTCGCCGGAAGCCGAGTCATGCTGCTGTGCTGCACCAGCGATGCATGGAGCCGAAGCCCACCACGCCACAACAGGAAGCCACCTGATGAATAGAGGCGGAAACGACGCTTCGAAAATTTGTCCGAACGGAGCCTCTCCAAATGATGGCAAGGGATCACCGTAAAAAACCAATCAAAGTCCGGCTCAGAATCAATCAGATCAGTCCCCCTGTCGCTCAAAATGCCAGTTTCCACAAGTCTAGGAGCTCTATATTCGCACTGGAGCACGAAATACAGTATAAAATTTGTGAGAAGCAAAAAAGAACCGAGCCTTTTCCGCGGAAATCCGTCTTTTCGTGTGGCGGAAGCTCACCTCGTTATCGCCGTGCTCAATCAAATGACCGGGTCCAGAAATGAAGCTTCGAAAATTTGTCCAAACAGCACCTCTACGAATGGTGGTAGCAGGTGAACGTTGAAAGTCAGGTTCAGGACACCCTGTCGCTCAAAATGAGAGATCCACAATACCGAAATGCTCCAGGAACACGGGGAGAAAACAACAAACAAGTCTAGGTGTCCTAGATTCGCACTGGAGCACGAACTACAGTATAAAATTTGAGGAAAAGCCAAAAAAACTGTGCTGTTTTTCGGATAAAGCCGAGCAATGCTGTTGTGTACCGGGTCGTGGCTGAAGCCCACATGGAAACACTGTCACCCACCAGATGACGAGGTCCAAAAACGAAATATCGAAAATGTGTCCAAGCAGCACCTCTACGACTGGTGGTAGCAGCTAAACGGGAAGACACCTTGAAAATCACGTCCTAGAAGGTCTGGAGGAACAATGCAGTCGAAAAAAATCGGATTAAACCGTACCAAGGTCGTTAACGCAACTCGCATCCGCCCGCTGCCAAAAATGAAGCAGAAGGAAAAAGCATCTTACAAAAAGCCGAAAACTCTTTGATAAAACTCGCCCATGCAGCCGGAATGTACAATGTCCGGGACGGAAAAAATTGGAAATGAATTCCCGGCGAAAATTCGAACGCCCTGAAGACTTGAAGATGAGTAAACAATGATACAAAAGTCCAATCAACTGGCGGAAAGTTCTGTCGAATGACTACTTTGCAGAGCCGGTGAAAATAGCTATTTTTCTGTGAAATTTTTGACAAAAATTGACATAAAATCGGACTGTCCGGATCTAAGGCCGTCTTTGGCAGCTCTTCGTGCGAGCTAATGAGCAATTGCGGCAAAACAAGTCTATTCGGGGCTTTTTTTCATTGTGTCGTGGGCGTCCAGTCTCGAGCGACTCGAGTCTGATTTTGAAGCTATCAGACTACATTCTACGTCATACAACAAGCATATGAGGACAAGATGGAAAATTTTGAGGAGTTACAAAACGTTACCGAGTACTTGATCTTTTGAAATATCGCAGAAAGGGTTCAAAATGGGGCATCGGAACTCGAGAGTCGCCTTGCTTGCCGATTCCTCAAAATTGCACAATTTTTTTTGAGAAATTTGAAAACGAGATCACTACATGACTCCCATCAGATCCAGATCAAGGACATGAATTGAAAAGAAGCCGACCGCATCAAGGCGACAAAAACAGCGACGCCTGAGTTCACTAGAATCAATAAAGCTGCATACGAGATATTGACTAAAAACCTTTGAAGATATTTTATCGCAAACTTAATGCGTTTTAAATGCAGTTAAACCGCTGAAACATGCCACGCAATGAAAATCCAAGGTAGCGGCAAAGAAGAGTTTGAACAAGAAGTCTCCTTCATCAAAATTGTCACGAGGGCCAATTATGTTTCAGAAACGCGTCATTCTCAAGGCGTTCAAGTGCAACGGCAAATTTATGAAATGGACTACAAGAACTGGCAGATTGCACAGACCAAGGTTGTTTCTCCTCAGAGTTGGCGGAACCGGGAAAAAAGCACCAAAGGAGGTCAATGGTTAGAAGTTCTGTGGCACGTCATCAAAAGCAAGTTGTACCAGGAAAATACCGCAAAGAATGCGACACTTGAAAAAATCACTACGTCAAGGTGGGTGGCGCCAAACAACACCAGGGCAATAAGCAACGAAAGTGGCGAGAACAGAAAAGGAAAGGGGCTAGGCTCCAGAAGATATCTGAGATGGAGGCACAGTAGCGTGCCTTGAATTGGTCAGAAGAAGAAGAAGAACAGCGAGAACAAAAGAAACTAGCTAGTTTCTGAAGGCGAGACATTGCATCGTGTACAAAAACGGCTTCTGGCAGTGAACAAACCTGGAAAACGAGCACCAATTTGGATCAACGGATTGGAGAAACCTAAATAATGAAGATTCAACAAAAACGGGGTTCGGCCCCGGGACCAACAAATGCTAAATGAATTGAAATGAAATGAAAAATAAGCTGGCACACCGCCTGAACCCCCGAGTGGAGCACCAAACTTGTAAGTGCTAATTCAAGTTTTTAAGTATTTATTTAATAAACAAAAGGAAAACACGTTCGGTCATAGTTTTGCAAGAAGTAGCTCATCGAAGAAACATAGAAGAAAAATTCTGGCAAATCTATTTTTGGCAAGAAGGTTTAAATGCCATTTTTTGGAGATTTCCAAGAATTTCCCAAAAAAACTTCCGCTATAAAAATATACAATATTGATTAAAATCTATTTATAAATTTGATTTAACGATTACTTTTCAGAAAAGAAGATGCTAGATGGATTTACGAGCATACGGTTGACACAGTGTTGAGCTGATCGCAAAGCTGACGAACGTTGATGGAGGTGGCCAATTTGATATTTGAAAGTGTCAAGGGATTTTTGTACTATTATTTAAGCCAGCTGTAAAACGCGTCTAGCGGAAATTCGTGTAAGCATACCATCCAGACTGGTACGTTTGTTTCGGCTAAAAATATTCTCACCGGAATTTGTATAGGTGCGGAAAATTCAGCTCATTCATTCAGCCGCTTTGCAAAGGCATCAGTGCTGCATTGGTTTCATCGGTATTTGTTGAATCTCAAAATTCCAAAAGCTTTTCAGGTGGTCTTCTGCGAAATCGTATTGAGATGCTCCGTTAATGAAATGGAAATGGAAACGGGTCGAAGCATGAGGTACAGGTATAGCGCCGGGAATTAAATTATACTTCCAAAAATTAATGTGTCGCGCCATCGATATTTGTTGAATATAAAATTTAAACGGCTTTGCAGATGTTGTTCCGCGAAATCGTTTTGCGATGCTGCGTTAATGAAATGGAAATGGAAACACATCAAGGCATGATCTACAGGTACAACGTCGAGAAGAAAATTGTAGTAGGAAGCGCCATTTTTCCAATAGTCATTAGTTCAAAAATGCAGATTTTCGCGGACAGATTTTTTCTAGAATCAACATTGCGAAAAATACATTGATGTTTTCTACTGTTGCAGTACCTACCCACCCTATTGATAATTCGACGCAAATATTTCAAAATTTTGGTTTTCGAAAAATGGATGGAAAAAATTATTTTTATAATATTATTTTCGAAAATGTGGAGAAAAGCGGTACGAAAGTAAGCGATTTTGGCGAAAAGGCGCTCAATTCCTCTGGATAGCGGGACCCAAATTTTTTGCAGTTACGGGTTCGCAAAATAACTTGAAAATTATTTTCATAATGAGATCTTGCGAAATTTGCATAGCATTCGTTTGGAAATTAAACGATTTAACATACCAGTTTATTTTTCAGCGGCACAGCGTTTGCAACGAATCATGAAATGCACCAAAGGAAGTGTTTAGTTAGACTGATTACTTGACCGCATTGGCTGTGCATTCATGAAAGTGGGCGCTTTTTCGAGCCGTTAAAATTTAAGAAGCAATCCCCAAACGATCTATTTTGGAATTTAGGTTTCTTCTCGGCCATGAGTCCAAGCCTAAATTAGCAAAATCAGACGTAAATCCCCATTTATTTTCAGTGATACGCATTCTCCAGCAAGGTGCTGCGACACAAAACGTTGAAAAAAGTGAAATGGAGTTAGTGTCGAACCAAGGTATCCATATTTATCCATACAGCCATACTTTTTTCAATTGTACAATTTCTGCCAGGGCGTGCTGAAATGTCACGAAGGAAATGTGTGGTTAGGATCGAAACTGGTGAGGTGGTTGGTGGTGTTGTAGGAGAACCATTTTTAGCAATACAGTGTGTCCCGGTTTTAGTGCTGCATCTTTGCTGAAAAAGCCATAATTTTTCTACATTTTTATTAACGTGTTATTCATTTTTTAACATGGTGCTAGAATTAGGCGAGGGGAGGGAAAATGTAGCTCCTGCCATAACGTAGCAACGTCTTAGCAAAAACCCTTACTTGGAGCGTCTTATAGCTGCTGATACCTAGCCGATGAAAGGGATCTATCTTTCAGAAGCTGTGCTTTCATACTGTATTCCTTTTCAGCGATCGCGATAACTAAGATCTACGGCACACCGCCATCGTCGGCTATTCGGATGAGTACATCGCAGCTATGGAAGCTCAAGCCGATTTTTGCGCATTTTTTAATAAATTTTTACATCATTCGCTAATGCGAAGGGGTAAGGTACACCTACCTAAACGGAATGCAAAAAATCCTTACGCCCGGCCATTTTTTCCTTCTTATTCTTCTTCGAACCCGCTGGGCAGCTAGCAAAAATGCGCCAAGAAATCGATAGACCATGCCAGCCAGCGCTGATGCGTCAGCGTAACAATTCCTGTCCCATACAATCCATTTTCTCGAATTTATTGTCAAATTTTTAAGTGTGTTTCGGGCTATAAAATCTTTGCAATATGAATCTTCTATCAAGTTTAATATATTAATCATGGTTCACAATAACTTTGAAATATAAGGCTATTACTACTAATCTTGCTCCCACCGGACCTTTCTCTCTCTCTCTCTCTCTCTCTCTCTCTCTCTCTCTGATACTCCCACTACCTCAATCGCTCTCGCTCGTACTCTCGCTCGCTCTCTCACTCTCGCTCTCTCTCTCTCGCTCTCTCATCTCTCTCTCTCTCTCTCTCTCTCTCTCTCTCTCTCTCTCTCTGATACCCCCACTACCTCAACCGCTCTGCTCGCTCTCTCACTCGGACTCTCTCTCTCTCTCTCTCTCTCTCTCTCTCTCTCTCTCACTCTTTCTCTCTTCAAGCCCGCTTTTCAGGCCATGATCTCGAGCTCGGACAATTCTACCAAGGACAGGCGATTTCATTTTTACATCGCCTCAAAAACCCGAAATTTTGAAAATTTGCAAACAATCCTTCAACCGCTTTCTGCAAGAAACAACCAGTCAAAGTGTCAAAATCAACGATAACAAACCGGCGACAATGGCCAACATGCTTCGAAAAGAAAGCCAGCTGCAACTACAAGAAGTGGCAGCTTCACAAGCGCATCAGGAAAATTCGCAGACCGCACAAATCTAGCTTTACCCTAAAGAAATGGAGGATGTTGAAGAATTTCGATGAGTGAATCCCCAGAAAATCCCGGGGATACCACCATTCCATGGCCAATGTGATCCCTGTCTTTAGACCTGAAGTCACTGAGCCGGTCCAGCAAAAATCGTCTACTGGAACCAAAGAGGGAGGCAAAAAAGGCAAAGAGAAATCCGGAAAACGCACCATACTGCTGTTATGGACATATGTCCGATCACAGCAACCCGACAAGCCGCCTTACATGAATGACCACAAAATACAAAGGCCAGAGTGATGTTGAAGCGAAGCCTACACAAATGTCGGATTTCCGGAATAAGACTGGCTGGCTTGTACGAACAAACGATCGAGCATGGTGTGCAAAATCAAAGCCTCGATCAAGAGCTCTTAACGTTGTACTTGCAAAATTTTTGCCGCGAAAACGGCCTGACCCAGCACCAGCAAAAAGTGAAGTAGCGGCTCTCTTACCGCTCTCAGTGGAACCCCGAAGCTTGTCAAAACGATAAAATCTATACTGAAACTTCGAAAAAAAAAAACTTTGGGTGCACGCATGGGTACAGTTAATTCAAATTGATTCATTCATTCTGCACAGTAAATTTTGATTTGTAGGAAATCAATCATAACGAACCACTCCACGACAGAAAAGTGAAAAAAATAAGTGTAGCTTCCAGAGCCAACGGAAACCAACGAGGCCTTTCCCCAGCCGTGGTACAACGTCAATCAACTGCATAAAAGGTATTGCAGAAAGTTAAGAACCAAGAACAAATGAGAAATTATGGTGGAGAATATATCTTCAATATCCAAAATATATGCAAGCTTTTAACTTACCCTAGATCAGTAGACTGGTGATCGCGGAAATAAATATGCACGAACCACAAACAACCTCTACCTTACTGGAAAACCTCTAGCAAAAACGAACATTTGGAAAATCACGCTTGCTGACTTACTTAATAAACAAGACCGCAAGTAGCGCGACTGTTTTTTTCACCACGCAAGAAAATGGATGAAAGCAGACTTTACAAAGATTCAGAGCCTATCTAATCGGACGGGTTTGCAGTAAAATCATTAATTCAGTCCACATGGAAGGAATCAAAGCAAATGGTACACTATGTTCCGGAAAGATACATTGGATACCCAAGTCCGTCGCCCTTGGAATCGATCGAATCGGGAGTGGAGTTAGTGAAAAACTGCGAACGGCAAAATCGTGATTACAGTCTATTGCAAGGTGTATTTTCCAACCACGGTGATGAAACTCGTGAAACCCCTTCGGTGGTATAAGGCCAAACCAAACTAACCTGTGACTCCAGAGCAAGATGGAAAATGGGGAGCTACCCGGGCACGCGACACGACGAAGCTTTACGAACATTGGGAAGATAGGAAAAGTCGGAAAATGAGCTTCCCATGAAAGTGGGGAGTTGTCCGGCCCCACGACTCGACAAAGTTTTACAAAAATTGGGAAAATAGGAAAATTCGGAAAATTCAACGAACTGAAGATAAGACCAGGGCTTTTACAGCGTCGAAAGGAGCGCGACGCATACTATGGATCACAACTTGCCGGGATTTAGAAAAATGTTGTAATGCAAACCAACTGGATATAAGGTTTCGCATGTAATTTCCGGAATTTTTTTGTGGATATCAGCGACCCTGCGACGATCGCCACACAGAACGGATTGTTGAACAATCATTCAGAAGAATAACCAAAAAAAATGAAAATTTGCGTCTATCGTGGTGTCGAAGCATTTGAAATTGAAATCGATTTTTCCACCTTCGGTGGTTTGGACGCTTATTTACGCTTTAAATTGGGCAATATTTTACGACCAATTGCTTAATCGTTTTCCGGCAAATTCACGAATGGAACAGCAAAAACAATAGAATGGGGAAATCAGCGAGGCCGTGCCATTACTTACAAAGAAAACGGTAGATGCTGCGAAAATAATCAAACTGAAGCCGAAACACGAGCAAATGCGGAGGAAAAACGAATGTGAGATCGACGATTACGCTGCCCATTTGAAGCGTATCCGATGCATCGGTGATTTTTTTCGATTTCATGCGTTTAGTAATGGCATGCGGCATTACAATTGGTTTTCCGGCATTCCGGCATTTCAGGAAAATGATACTTGATTTCCAGGTTTACGAGTACAGTGCACAAAGCCTTGCCAACAGCCTTCCGAACCTTCGATGGAGGTAGAAAATTTCTGATATTCCTAGGCGAGGTAGGCAACAAAAAAAAGAGGTAAGGCTGTAGGCTTCGCTAATTGCTAGTGGAAATTTGCAGAGGACCCTCTGAAAATACAAAGAATTTTTAATCTTTTAGCAATGCACTACTAACGAACAATAAGGAACCCTGCAGGAAAAGCGCTCATCATCATGTGCCATCTTGTTCGCCGGTGAGCAACAACAAACTTCCAGATTTTATCCTGATTTAGGTCTGCGTCTACGCGCCACGCGAAACGAACGTAATGGCTGGGCTCCGGAATTAAGAATTGGTAGATGATGACGTTAGCGAAGATCGGTTGGACAATTTTTGACTTGTCCGGCAAGCCCTTGGGAACATGGGAAACATCCCGAAGAAAAAAACAATCAAAAAACCGGCCTTTCAGCAATCCACGATTAACGAAAAAAAATTGTAGCAAAAGCGTCGCTCCGCTCGTCTTATTCGCTGGTGAGCAACAACCAACTTCCTGATTTTTCAGATAGGCTTCTTCGCGCCACGCGTAACGAATGCAATGGGTGAGCTCCAGCGCTGAAAACTTAATTGATGAGCAAAATTGATAAATCCGCGGAACAATTTTTGACTTGTCCGGTAAGTCCCTTTCAAAAATGGAGCCAATCCGGAATTCTACATTTACCCTAATTTTTAGTAAACCCAAAGCGACAATATTCAACGTCAAAAACCGTGCGCCAGGGCCGGAAGACCTAAGGTTTGACCTCACGGTACATTCCGAACCGTTGATTGGGCTACTCGATAATAAAGGTAATCGCACTGAATGATTAAATAAAAAAATATATATATAAGTTTTCCAGATTCTACTTTTAAAGATGTGTTACCTCCCCGCTTCCTTATTTCAAGACGCGGGCGTGTTTTGGTTATGGACCTGAGATGTTGATTGATGATGAAATTTTTAGAGGTGAGCGACTTAGTGTCGATTTTTAGGCGTTAAATCTGTATATTTTAGTATGATTTGACGTATTTTTGAACCATCTTGCCCCACCGCCCATTAAAACACAATTGGGTTCTGGTTCGTTAGCGGGGGCGGGCGCTTACTGTCATAGATTTTTTACTATCGCATTATCTTTTTTGTGTACTACTTCGTCGCGACCCATTAGAGCACCAAAAATAAGCTAAGATTTTGGCTTCTGAAAAACTAGATCAGAAGCAAAAATAACGCTGAATAGGGTTGATAAGCGATTTTTCGGGATTCTTCCCCCCCGCTAACGAACCAGGACCGGAAATTAGATGGCAACAGCAGTGGCTGTGCAACGCGAAAAGCCGATATCGATTTTCAGCAAAATCGCAACTCTATCCACCGCCAAGCCGACCGTCGCGAGCAAATTTATTGTTTGATGGAAAGAGCGAAGTGTATCTATGCAGAATAATAAATGAATGAAATATATGTATTAATAAGTGAAGCGTAGTAAAAATGTTCTATCACGATTCTCAGAATTTGTGCAACCTAGGATCGTCTACTGCTTTTATTGGCAGCTATGCCTTTTTGAAAATTGGAATAAAATTAATACATTTAAATTTCGGTGACATAATAAAATGTAATCAAATATTACGGTGAGGTTTACGGCGGTGATTAATAAAATTTTACTCTTCTCTTCCGGCTTACGGTTCGTCTCTCACGCTATTCGGGAGCTAGCAAAAATTGGCAAGAAATCGATAGATGCCCTGCCAGCCAGCGTTGATGCGTCAGTGCAACCATTCCCGTCCTGTACGATCCGTTTTCTGGAATTTTTGGTTTCAGTTTTCATTGGCAATTGATTGGCAATGTTTCTCTTCAAAAGCAGATGAGGAGAGGCTGCCGAACATTTCTTGATTCTTGACACGACTTTTTATCTTTGTCGCTCTTCACTCTCTCATTCATTCTCTCTCTCTCTCTCTCTCTCTCTCTCTCTCTCTCTCTCTCTCTCTCTCTCCCTCTCTCTCACGTTCTCTCACGCTCTCACTATCTCACTCTCGCTCTCACTCTTCACTCCCTCTTGCTCTCTCACTCTCTGACGCTCTCTCACTCTCACTCGCTCGCTCACTCTCTCTCTCTCTCTCACGCTCTCATTCTCTCTCTCTCGCTCTCGACTCGTTGGTCTTTTATTAAAACTTGCTTTCAGATTACACCTCAAGCTCGGGCGATTCTATCAAAGGATAGGTGATTTCATTTATGAATCGCCTAATTTGAAGCGCTTAGAAACTAAGGCCATCAAAAATTGCAAATAAAACATCAAGCCTACTTGATTTTGGAATTATGAAAATGAGCCACCCGGATGAAAACATAAAACTTGCCCGGGCTGCTATTCGAGAGAGACGGCGCGGTTAAGGATTAGAGCACCACTAGAGGGTGCAAAAACAACCAGGCGTTTGGTGGGCGGATATAGCACACTAATCGGGGTTGAAGAAACGATGCTCTGCACCCTTATGAGGGAATTCCAGCCAAACCAGTACTATAATGGCATTAAAAACAGCCCGAAAAAATACAATAACCATTTAAACCGGTTCCAACTTACAGAAGGTTGAACGTCTTGAGCACTTCAACCAAAAATCACCAGGAGCTGCCAGGAGAATCTCAGAAAAGACTTGGAGGTCTCAATTTAAAAAGCTACCATTGTGGCCTGAAGTACTGGAGAAACGCTCCAAATATAATGAAGAGAATCGACCCTTTTCTAAACTTGATGCACGGTACCAATTATTAGACCGGGAGCTGATGCACCACTGCTCAGCCGGACAAGGTGGCTGCAGGCTAGGGGCGACGCTGCAGAAGACTCCCAAAGCAGCTGAAGTGATGTGTGGATAAGAAGAAAGCATAGAATTTGTCGATCATCAGCAAAGCGCCAATTAATTTCGGAGAAAAACACGGCAAATGATAATGCGGCGCGAGAAATGACGGTAACCAAAAAAAACCGTAAACCTGCTTCGGCAACATAAACGGCACCAAGCGTACCAAATAAACCAATTTACATGGATGATCACGAAATCGAAGCAGCTAGATTAATGTTAAACTGAACGCTCAAAAAGCATGGGATTCCGATTGAGCCCGGTTAATAAATGCCTTACAGCGCGAATGTTCTATTTCTTGGCTAGACCCTAAAAATCGAAAACGGAACACCAACACCAAAGAAAAAAAAGGCATGGCCTGTAAAGCCAGCAGATACGTCGGGGTCGTGTCCAAAAATAGATTTACGGGCAAACCAATTTACATGGACTATGCGAATATCGAGGGCGTTGGATTGTGGTAAAAATTGCAGCGGAAAAACGCAAAATGCCCGACGCAGGGTTGCTAGTGGAAGGGTTCAAACAACTTGCGCAAGAAATCAGAGTCCTACAAGGTCAGGTTGATACCTTTGAGGATTTCCAACGATTCTTCACTATCCCGGAGTAAAACTCGACTACTAGAAGCTTGCGGACAGATCGCACGAGAAGCTCAGAACTTTTATAAAAGATAAATTTACGAACAAACTGCGGCAAAAATAGACTTCGAATGGAAAAGAGCCGAAACCGTGCGTTCAAATCGATTGGTTCCATTCCGGGAGCGACAAGAATTGCTCACAACACGAACTTCACCAATTCTTTCTACCGCTCCGAAAAGCTTAGAAAAAATCGAAAACGCCAAGTTACATCTGAAAAACAGCTTGATGAGACGTCGGCTACATCATCGTTGTAACCAAAAGTAGATTGTTTCTATTTTTTTTACTCGATTACGAAAATGAAAGATAATCGAAACATGCTTTCTGGTCGATGACAAACAGGATGCACGAAACGATGAAAACCAAACGGAAATTATCCATGCAATTCGAACGGATCACGCCAAGAGAAATTAAGAAGCAAAAATTTTCGGACAAACCCCTTCACATGGATTTGGGCTAATTGGTGTTAAAGTGACGTCAAAATACTAATTTGGTGTTCAAGTAACGTCAAAAAACGCCAAAGGGAGGATGCCCCTCATCTGATTCGTCAGCCTAGGCGATGAAACGTTCAAGCATGCGGCTGAAGATTAAGTTTAGATTTATCACATGTCGCCTCGAAACGATCAGGGCTTGCGAAGAAGCCCCCACCAAAAACCTCTCGGATTGGCTGCCTGGAGACAGGCGATTTAAATAGCTGAATTCCATGCACGGAGGTCCAGGAAAACCCTTAAAGCCCGGCTGTCACATGCGATTTCTAGTCATGGGAAGCCGCTAGAAAAATCGAAAACGGAAAACAACACCCGCAGATGGACGTTTTGGGACACTCGAATTACGTAGCGGTGGCGATCAAAATAAGATTTGTCCATACTGGTATCCAATTTCCGATAGAATAAAAACTGGACTATCGAAAGATTGTAGCGAAACACATGTGCATTTCATAACGAACGGCACGCACGCTATTATGCAAATTAAACGAAATCAGCGTTATCGACCTGGCGTTGTCGCTAGTCCGATGATAAGCTCAAAAAGGCTATGAAGACGCAACTTTTGGTTTTACTGTCCCGGAAACGGCAGATTCATTTCCCCAGGAATTCGGCAATCGAGAAATTAAAGATATATATAACCAAAACCAAGGAAAAATGACACAATGCCTTTCAAAAATCCGTATTTAAATCCAAAGTCTGCGGAAGCTTTTATAACGGCAAAAATCGGCCCCTGGGCGGCTATTGCCAGGACCATAAATTTACTTGTTCCATTCCAGACGTCTAAAAATGCGTCTGCCAAGGAAAATCGGAGAACTACTGCATCTGGTCAGAAAACCCCTGACAAGAACACGACTACGACCACCATGCGCTGTGAGCAGCAAAACTTGATGTGATTGATGAAATAGCGACAACCCTGTTCGTTGTGAAAATCCAACCCAAAAGAGTTTGTGCAAGAAGCCCTGCTTCTAAAGCCCTGGAAACCAAGGAGCTCCTTGTCGGATCAAAGTATCTGATCAACGCATTCAACAAAATAAGTTGCAGAGAGCCAAGAGCCAATGACAGAGCGTGTTTTGAAAATATAAATTGAATATTGAAAAGGCTCGTGAGTTGGACGGTGATCGCGCAAAAATACTGCTGTTAATGGTGGAACGGTGGAAGTCTACCGAAATTCATACTGTCGGCTTACCGATCTCCAAGTACTCCTCAAGAAGCGAAAACGACGAAATACTTCTACTTGTCAGAAAAGTCAAGAAAATGGAGAATGGGAAGCTAAACGGTCCGAAAGCAATGCCGTAAACAACTGGAAGTGGAGTATCCAATTTTTTACCGGTTAAACAAGGCAGAAGAAAACAGTTTCGAAAGCATTCGAGCCGATCTACTCCAAAGAGGTTTATTGGCAGCTCATTGAATCCTCTTTGAAAAGGAAGTCCAAAGCAACTGACCCATCCTGTTTCCAGAAAAAAAAATTAAAATCAAATCCGCGCAAGCTCAGAAGTAGAAATTCAGAAAAATCTGGAATGTGGAAAACACACAGGACAGTGGCAAAACGGTCATTACAGTGCATAGAAATTTGTATTTTCCATTTTCCTCAGGGTCATGGAGCAACACCGGAGGGACCGAAAAGCCAAGATCCGCCATTGCAACACGATACGGCCCAGAAAAAAATTCAGAATGAGAACCCGTCCGCGTAGGCCGGGGCGGGAAGCTTCACAAAATTTGTGTTGAACTGGGCGGGGGTATTTTATGCAAATGTGTAATTAACAGCATCGAATCAACCAAATATGAAGAAAACCAAGCGCAAATCGCTGATATTAAAGACCCACAGCAAAATCAGGAGCGCAGAGTCTTTGAGCAACAAGTACGCGAATACCCGAGCGCACTGCCGTGTGAAGACACGGACGACCAGGCGAGGAACCTCAAAAAAATTAGGTCGAAAAATTTTCGTTTTAACTCCATGCAAGCAACGAGATGAGAACTATTGAAAATCCCGTCACAGAAGCCCAAAATTCGGGAGAGCAAGAAAATAGCTGCTCCATTTGGCGGACACCGTTGAAAAATAGGAAAATTGAAAATGAAGTCAGCGCTTCTGCAACGTGGAAAAAGTCTTCTTAGAATGGGCGCAATCCTAAATGTTAATTCTGGAAAAACACGACCATGAATGGCAGGGCGGTCATTGCAGTTTATCGAAATGCATCTTCACGATTGACGCTCAGGATTATGGAGTAACACCGGGCTAGACTCACACAAAAGGCTAGGGAAGGATGCTATAGGTCAGGAAAATTGAATATGGTAGAATGGCTCATGAAATGGAACGGAAATTAAGCTAATGAAAATGAAAAATTCGTTAAGCCCTATCAAACCAACCTGACGTTCGATAACGCAAGTCTTTGAGCTCCAGGAAAACTGAAAATGGAAAAATTCTTATGGAAGGAGTATTGTGGAAGGAGAAGAAGACATCAGAAAACCGGAAAAGAATGCATTGTATATCTAATTTTCCCTCTGGTGAGCGTGCCCTTGAACGAGCCAAATGTGCTGGTCGGCTTCGTCCGCTGCAGAAAATGAATCATCAAGCATACGAGTCGATAACAAAGCATAATGATAGCACAAGTTAGAGCGAGCAGGTCAGAAGGAGAATATTCTGTACCGCATATAATTGAAAAACAAGTCTCCAAATCCCACCACGAAAACCTCTTGCTCCAACCTTAGCGCAGAAGAGATGAGCTAAATTGTGCCAACAAGCGGTGACTTCTAATTTGGATGCAAACTAAACGGAAACCCGGTGAGTGGATTTTCACGTTTTTTACGCAAAAAGGCAAAAATCAAGGCCAAAAAATATAGTGCTACATAAAAAAAGCCCAGTGTGAATGCCATTCATTAAAAACAATCTAATGAATAGAAAAATTAAATCATGCGATTTTTGGGCCGCCAGAAATTGATGTAGCCTGTGGGTTGGCCAAGCGAGAAATGGCAAATTTTGAGTTAAAATTTGCTTTCAAAAATAGTAAAAGTGGTGCGAACTGATCAGGATGCCTTTTTCAGAGGTCATCAACATTCACCTCTCATGAAAGAATTGGATTCGAAAGAAGGACTATTAGGTTGCGATCCTTTACACGGATGACCCATCAAGTAATTTGCTAACCACTGAAGTTAATGACCACTTTCTAGGTACTGCAGATATTCCAGAAAAATGCTCAAGAAGCTCCTATGCATTTGGCAAATCTGAAGTATAACTATGGTTAGTCATATGAGCACTTTTTTCAGGACATTGCCTTAAAATTATAAATTGTTGTTTTATAGTCACTTCTGATAAAGAAACAAACAAAAATAAATTTTTATTTGAAACATTTGTAGGCCGCTCGCTGGGACTAGGCGCCAAAGTGAAAAATTTCAGCGAAAGTTTCAATTTCTGGATCGGATATAAGGATGATGGCAATTTATGGACAACCCCATCTGTCAGTGCCGATTTTAATTGAATGGAGTAGGTCTTTGGTTTCTGCGTCCCGCTAGGTGATTTTCGATACGGCCTGAACGACCTAATGATTTGATAAGCTGCATAATGCTTGTTGCTCTCGCTTAGCACTCCATCTTGGGCCCAAAACTAGCCGTTTTAAGATTAAAACGAGCAAAACTCGGAAAGTCAAAGGCCATGGCAAAAATAAGCAGCATCGTCGGATGCAGCGTAAAAAGCTCCATCAGGTGAACTATCTCACCGACAAAGTCGAACTTCGAGCTGGTGGGGTTTGCTTATTAGCTTTCCAACATCCGAATTTCAGAATGGGCTCTCGAAGGAAAAGGCTCTTGAAGCACCAAACTCGCGACAAAAACTTCGCCGATTCCGGGTGATTTATGCACGGTTTTAATGTCACGCTTCGTAAATCCAGGTAATCCATGTACGTCTTTGAAAACGCGAATTCGATTCTAGGGAAAGGGAACCAAGACTCGATAGAATCAGGCGATTTATCGCAACGCTATGATATTTTATGAAGTGATTCAAGAACCGGTTGCGACGCAAGATGACAGCGCAGAAAACTTGTAATGCCAAACTAAAGCTGAAAAACAGATAAATTTTTACTTGCCCTTTTGTTTTCAAAAAAAATGCACTAACAGACAATCCCGCTTCACATATTGTCTTGTTAAAGAACGAGGATAAAAGATTTTATTAATAAAGTCTCACAAAAATCGCGGAGAAAATCAGATGAGAAAATATATACAGTGGATTTGTCATTGAGTTGTATTCATAATTTTTGTAATTTAATCCTGAATTTAATTAATTTCCACAAGAATTGAATTAATTAATGAAAATGAGTCTAAAAATCAAAATCTGCCCAATGGAACGCTTTTCCTCTTTCACCCCTCTCATCCTCTCACAAGCCGTTCGTGAGCTATCAAAAAAGTGGCGAAAAATCAATGGGCCGTCGAGCCGTAGTCGCTGCCCCAAAGCAACAATTTTCCGTCAACCGACTCATTCTTTCACATGTTTTTTTTTTGATTAGTTTGCTGCTTTCAGACAAAATTTTACAACCGAAAACTTTGGAAATGTCACCCGGATATTTTATGGCTTGGTGGTCCGCCTAAAAAAATAAATTTTTAGTGAATTTAAGGTTAAAAATCAAAATTTGGTGTTTTGCTGTATTTTTTTATCATAAACCAGGGTTGAAAAGCCGCTACGCGGCTTTTCCCCCTGGCCTTTGCGCGGGGATCTTTAAAAGTTGGGCTTTGCATAATTCAAGCCAGAGCTAGAGCGAACCCTAAAAATAGAAAAAGCAACCGGCCGCGAGCGCGACAAAAGCCAAAATGAGGCTCCTAGCGCCTCGTATGCAAATTAGTCTATTTCCATATGTTTTTAAAACGTTAAAATAAGGCCTAAAACGAAATTTTAGTAAAAATCTTATAAGCGTGCAGTAATCTACGTCCTCGAATACCCCTAACTACCCTATTTCTGGACCAAAAAATTCTTTCCCATTTGAGTTATGGCTGGAACCCGGGTTTTTATGCAAAGTGTCTACACACACACAGACACTATTTTTTATATATAGTAGGATGTTTATTATATGAATAATTAATTGATTTAATGAATGAAATTTAGTAGATTAATTTGAAAGTTATGGGAATTTGTTGTTCAATCGTTAGGAAGGGATCACAGCCGAAAATTCGCTAATGAGCTGTTTCCCTTTGTTTGTTTACGTCTTTCTTTTTGTTAGAGAATTATCACCATCAATCGTTTTATTATAGTTATCTCTATTCATTAAGCTAACTCGTATGACTCCCCTTTTAGATGAACATCCCATGCTTGGGCGATTTTGCCGAAATACGCCGATTCCATCTATGAATCGTCTAAAAAATTCCATTATCGAATGCACGTGTTTCGCCTGGGAAAAAAATAGACAATCAGCAGCCGGAAAACACCCGAAGAAAATACTGATGCTCAAAGGGAATATACCCGAAGCAGACCATGCGGTGAAGCGAACCACGCAAATCACCTCTACACAAAAAGTGAAATAAAGAAATCGCATAGAAGGAAATTGGGTTGACTCTACGGTTACGATTGCACAGCTATCGAAAGAAGCTTTTCAAGGGCTGATGATAAAATCGAGCACGAGCTCGGGATTGATCCAACGAAATCACTGGTGCGGGGGCGGAAGCCTTACTGAAAACCTCGCCAAGGCAAAAACGAGCTGCGGACAAGGAAATTCGTTGCGTACCATGCTGAAAATTGTCGCCAGCCGAAAGCTTGACTACAAAGCATTCAGAAAAATATAAAACAAAAATTGTCTTTTTCCGCGGCGATGAATTCTGGCAAATCCAAAAGCGACACTCTGTTATTGTCGCAGAAAACAAAGCCTAAAAACGAGAAGTGCGAAAGTACTGATTTATTGAAGCCGTGCAGCCACAATAATAGAAATGTGAAACGCAACTAGCCCCAAAATGAAAAGGTGCTGTCCGCATGGTGAGGCCCGGAGTTGGAGGCATCGCTCAAGCTCTAAAAAACTATGCCAAAAGGAGCACCAGTTTGTCAAATAAGCCAAATATCGAAAACCGATGAGAACTGGCTCAAGTATCGGTTTGAATCTGTCGGAAGAATTCTAATTTTGGCGGCATCACACAAACTCTAAAAAATTTGACAAAAGGGGCACCAGTTCGTCAAGTTGGCAAGTATCAAAAACCCATGAGAACTCGCTAAAGTATCGAGTTGATTGTCTAAAGAAGTTTAACTTTGGTGGCACCGCTCAAGCTCTAAAATCCAAAGTATTCTATCGTCCTCGGGAGGCGCTTCACCTTTGAATATCGCCGGATCTTCGCAAAGATCACGCGAACCCAGATGGGGGTCAGGCCGTAATACCATAAAGGACAGAATCAAAAAGAGTCACAGGTGGTCAAATGAGCAACTTCAAGCATGCAGGGAAAGCTAACAAGTCAGGTCCAAAGTATCCCAAAAAATTGGAAACGTTCCGAAGAAATCAGCTACCAAATAGTAGCAGAACATACCACGAAAAGTTTCGAATTCGCAAAAAATTCGCCCACCCCTGAACATCAATCGCAGAGAATCGGCATGGAGCACGCCGATCCTGATTGTTGATCAAGAAGCCAGGAGGTGAAGAGACGTTGACATCAGACCGTGAGTAAAATTTATTAGAATTTGGGCAAACGTCGCTAAACGGGGGGAAAGGAATGACGGGGTGGAAACAAATTTTCTCTTATCTATCTTATCTTCGCGTATCTGGTTGTACCTAATCGTGTAGGCCATCGGATGAAGCATGGAAAATTATATAAAGTAAAGATAACCCCAAATTCTTGAAAACAATTGTTTATGTTGCCCAAAAATTCGTCAGGTTCATCGATTCCTGTCTTTTATGAGCTGCTAAAAATCAAGAAAAGAAACGTTTAGCCATTCGATGCCAAGAATTTGCAGGACACGTGCACGACACAATCCGGCATCAAAAGGAATCGCGCAAATGCTTGAAATTTAAATCTGGACGACTCCGAACCTAAGGTACGCTCTTTTACAATCAGACATGGAATACTGCATTTCCTCTAATATAGCTGCTCTCTAAAAACACTCATTTAGAATCTAAAAATTTCTCAAAAATGAATTTTATTTCTCAAAATTTCTCAAAAATTTAAAATTGACAATTGAAGACGTTTTCCTAAAATTACGTCCGTTTTTACCTTCATTTTTCTCGTTTTAAATTAGAGAAAATCAAGTATTAGGAAATATTGTGGGACGCCATAAAAACCTTAAATTCAGATTTAAACAGCAAAAAGAAATCATTTTGAAATTTCATTTTTGAACTTTAGTCCTTTTTTAAGCAATTTTATACCAAATTTGACAACGAATGCCAATTAAAAAATTCTAGGCGTTTCCAAAAACCGAGCACCCTTCTGAGAACTCTGCCTCGATCGCCGCCAGCGAAGGTTCCAAATCCTAACCCTAGCAGGTCCGGTGGGCGATGAATGTAACCCAAACAAGGCAATATTTCTGTAAGAAAATAAATGAATTTGGGTTGTGAACAATAAACTTCACATTACACATTACACACCTTATTTCTTTTAAAACCCATTTTTTCAATCAGGGCAGAGGTTGTATTAGAGGGAGGACTTCATTATTTGCAAGGCAACTCAAGCAATGATTTGGGTCGCAACGAAAAATGGGAATTTGCACGGAGAATGGGGCTACGCGATGCTCCAAAACACCCCATTTTGAACCAAAGTCTAGTCTAAAACCGGAAACTTGCAGCGCTGGTCCAATCAGGGTTTGAATTCAGTTTTCTTTCTATTTGGTCACATTCGAAAGAGCGCATTTTGTTCTACAAATCTGGATATCGACTTTTTCAAATTACAATCTAGGTAAAAAGTTATTAGCGTTCAAAGATTCCCTTCTTAGAATTTTTGGCCGGAAAACAGCCCCCCCCCCATTTCATGTCGTAATAGCGTGCCCTGAGATGCCGTGTTTGTCAATGGGACCATCCGGCCAATTTTCACCTGGCGCTCTGTAATACCGTATTCCTTGTGTATATTGTATTCTTATGTATTTAAGTTTTGCACTGAGTTCGTGAGTGGTTGTAATGAGTTTGAACTGCTAGAAATCGCCGTAATTGATATCAAAATTACATAAAAATACAACCAATTTATTGTATTTGCGTTATCAGAAAATGGCACCCGCAACCCTCCTTCCAGGCGGCGAAAAAAATCGATAACATGGCCATTGATAAGCCGGGGCTGCCATCCGCTGTTTTCTGGAATACGATCGGCTTATTCTTACCAGTTTTTTTTTTGCTGTCATCGAAATCCCTTAAAGTAATGCCATTAATCCTGTTGTGGAGAGAAAAAGCTAGTCTCTTTTCCCCCACTGCCTATCCTGTGACCCAGTGACCGTAATCCACCCCAGTTCAAATCACACCGGATTACGTGTCGTAATGTCTCCTCACTGATGGGATTTTCTCCCTAAATTATCGCTCTAATTCCTTTTTATCCTGGAAGCTGCTACGAATAAACTTCTAACGTTTATTCGCCACAAGTTATCCATCAAGCACAAGAGGCAAGCACACTCGCGGACACAACAACTGGCGAGCAGGATGTACGACATTCACGCAAGGACGGGATTTCACGAAGCTGGCCCCGACTACCCGTGCGAAATCGAAACAAGTGGAAGCCGACGAGAAAATCATGGAGCAAGCTCTTCAAAATGTGCTACAGCAACTGATGGAAAGCCAACGTGAGCAGAGAGAAAGGGATACGGCCGCCCACGACCTCCAAATCAAGCTGATCACGGAGCAAATGGCCGCGTTGATGAACCAAGTCACCGTCCCAGTCAAGCACGAGCCCAAGGAGGAAGAGAACGCGAACAAGGCGCGTCTACAAGCGCTGCGCGACTCGATTTTGGCCCGAGTGCCGAAGTTTTCGTTTGATGAGGACAAGTCTACGTTCGAGCTGTGGCATGAACGCTATGGTCCGATGCTCGAGAAGGATGGCGCCGAACTCTCTGAAGAGGATCGCTGTCGGATGTTGATCGAGAAGCTGGACGAGGCGGCGTACGACAGGTTCACAAAGTTCATCCTGCCCAAGACCACAAATGAGCTGAAATACGCTGAAATTGTGGCATTTTTGCTCAAGATCTTCGTACCATCGAAGTCACTCATCGCCCGCCGTTACGAATTTTCGAAAATGAAGTTTGATGGTGGCGATGTCGAGGATTTGGCCAAGCACGTCGATCAGCTCAAGTTCGCCTACGAAAAAGCCAAGATGCGCGACATCAAGGAGAATGAAGTGAAAGTCCTTTCACTACTTCTTTCGCTTTCTGGCAGCGAACACGAAGCAACGCGAAGCCAAATACTTCGAAGGATGGAGGAAAAGCCCGAGTCGTCACTGGACGAAGTTTTCGACCACATTCGCCATTTCGTGACGAGGAAGAAGGACGCGAATCTGGATAGCAAGGGCGCATTGGCCGCGCACGCCGTCAACACAAAGCCGCCCTATGCACCCCGCCCTTTTCCTGCCCGAAAGAAGCCCGGCACCCGCGCACCAACGAGGCCCTGCAAGCACTGTCAAGGAGCCCACTGGGATGCCGATTGCCCGGGACGCAACAAGAAGCCGCAAGGACAGCCGAACTTCCCCAAGAAAAAGTTCGCAAGGCCCGCGCACACAAATGTCGTAATCGTTGGTTCTAACCTTTCTTTGAATCACGAATCTGATCGTTTATTTCTAGATGTTGCGATCAACGACAAGGTGCTGAAGATGCGAGTTGATACGGGCGCCGACATCACAATCATCAGCAAGAAGGACTGGACGCGGCTCGGATCGCCCGCGCTCAAGTCCACGGATCTGAAGATGAAGGCAGCGAATGGCGAAGCTATCAAGGTCCATGGCAACTTCAACTGCAAGTATGTGATCGACAAGAAGGCGATGTTCGGTGTGTGCCACGTCGTCGACGGCTACACGCTGTTGGGTCTCAATTGGCTCAAGAATACGAATGCGATGGATGCATTTCGTCAAATGCTAAAGCCCGATACCATGGAGGTGTTGGCAACCGACGCCGAGAAGGAGGGTGATTTCGCAGCACAACTCAAGCTGGAATTTGCCGATGTCGCGCAAGATGGACTCGGTAGCTGTAAGAAGTTGGAGGCTCGACTACAACTGAAGCCCGACGCTGTGCCCAAGTTCTGCAAGGCCCGACCGGTGCCTTTTGGCGCAATGCCCGCTGTTGCAGCGGAGATCGATCGTTTGGTGGGCACTGGAGTGCTAAAACCTGTTGAATTTTCTCAATGGGCCGCCCCGATCGTTGTCGTCAAGAAAAATTCTGGATCAATTCGGATGTGTGCTGATTTCTCGACCGGACTGAACAACGCGCTCGAGTCAAATTGTCATCCGCTTCCTACAGCTGAGGAAATCTTCGCCCAGCTCAACGGAGGAAAGTACTTCACGCAAATGGACCTCGCCGAGGCTTATCTACAAGTGCCCGTTGATGAGGATTCCAAGGAGTACGTGACGATCAACACGCATCGTGGACTTTTCCAGTACCAACGTCTGCCTTTTGGAGTCAAGACAGCGCCCGCCATTTTTCAAGGCATCATGGACCAAGTCATCAACGGTCTCGAGGGAACAGCTGCGTACCTGGACGATGTGATCGTTATGGGCAAGACGAAGGAGGAACATGATGAGCGAGTGAGAGCAGTTTTTCGACGACTGCAAGCGTTTGGATTGCGTGTGAAAATGGAGAAGTGCCGATTTGCGCAAAGGCAAATCAAATTCCTCGGTTTCCTGATCGACCCTGAAGGACGTCGACCCGACCCGGAGAAGATTGCCGCCATCAAGCACATGCCCACGCCGCAAAATCTAAGCCAATTACGTTCATTTCTTGGAATGATTCAATTTTATGGTCATTTTGTTCGTGATCTGTCTTCATTTCGCCATGTTCTCGATGAGGTGACAAAAGAAAAAGTCACTGTGACAAAAGAAAAAGTCACTTCGGCAAAAGAAAAAGTCGAAAACACGAGAAAAGATAAGGTCGTGTCCGAGAGAAAAGAAAAGTCCTCGGTGGAACAAAAGAAAGAGTTCCGATGGTCAAAAGAATGTGACCAAGCTGTCCAAAAGATCAAGGACATTCTTTCTGGAAACCTCCTGCTGACGCACTATGATGAGAAGCTACCGCTGATCGTTGCCGCTGACGCTTCAGACTACGGCATCGGTGCCGTCCTCACCCACAAGATCGATGGGAAAGAGAAGGCCGTCCAACACGTGTCAAGGACCCTGACGGATACCGAGCGTCGCTACAGTCAAATCGAAAAGGAGGCACTGGCTATCATCTACGCCGTGAAGAAGTTTCACCGGTACCTGCATGGAAGGACGTTCACCCTGCGCACCGACCACAAGCCGCTTCTCGCTATTTTCGGATCGAAGACGGGAATTCCGGCGTATTCGGCCAATCGTCTACAAAGATGGGCCGTAACTCTTCTCAACTATGATTTCCAAATGGAATACATTCGGACCGCGGATTTTGGGCAAGCCGACGCACTGTCAAGGCTTATTGCTGAACAACCGAGGCCGGATGAAGAACGCGTCATTGCTGCAATCGACGTGGATCCTGATGCTGATGGCGAAGCCGACGAAAACTACACGTTGCCGCTGCCGATCAAGCGAATGCAGATGGAAACTGCCCAGGATCAAGTACTGCGGGACGTTCTGAAGTTTGTCCAAGCGAAAATGTGGCCTCGACCGGACAAGGACTCCCGTCTCTACGTCTTTTTCAATCGAAGAGACGAAATCTCGTTCGCGGATGATGTTCTTCTATGGCGTCACCGCGTAATCGTGCCCGAGAAACTCCAAAAGGAAGTGCTGAAGTTGCTTCACCTCGGACACCAAGGCATGAATAAGATGAAAGCGCTCGCGCGAAGTTTCGTCTACTGGCCCACCATCGACAAGGACATCGAGCAACTCGTGCGAAGTTGTGATACGTGCGCCACGACCACGAAGGACCCGATAAAGGCGAAAATGGAACCCTGGCCGCTCGCGCATGCACCATGGACACGCCTACATGCCGATTTTGCGGGCCCGATCGATGGACATTATCTGTTGATAATCGTCGATGCATTCTCTAAATGGTTGGAAGTGGTACCTATGAAGTCGATCACCGCTACGGACACACTGGAAGCTTTCGCAAATATCTTTGCGAGATATGGCCTACCGGAAGTGCTCGTTACCGACAATGGACGTCAATTCGCGGCCCGACAAGTCAAGGAATGGTGCAAAACGAATGGAATACTACATCTATTCTCGCCGCCCTTCCATCCACAATCAAATGGACAGGCTGAACGATATGTTGATGTCGTCAAGCGGGCCGTTTCCAAGTTGCGCACCAATGGCTACAAACTACAGGATGCCATTCGGATGTTTCTTCAAGCACATCACGCCACGCCCTGTGCGGCTGGCCCCAATGGAGCGTCTCCATTCGAGAACATGATGGGACGCGAAATGCGAGGTCAACTCTCGCTACTCCTACCGCGTGTGCAAAGAGACGTTGTGAAGGATGCCACAATGAGCGCACAGTTCGATCGCCATCACGGAGCCAAGGCAAAGAATTTTTCACCTGATGAGCCCGTTTACGCAAAGGACTGGCGCACCGCGAAATCTACTTGGATTCCGGCTACTATCGTCAAAAAGAAGTCGAAGGTCATCTACTTGGTCAAGCTGGCTGACGGAATGCTCTGGACGCGTCATGCTAACCAACTACGCAAGCGCGACACGCAACTTTTCGATGAAGAAGGGAAGGATGTGGCGACGCCGACTGCTGAAGGTGATGAGCCCGTGTCAAGGCCCAAACGCACTCGCCGTCCACCATCCAGATGGAGCCCGTGAAGGAGGAGGTCAAGCGTACGCAAGAAATTAAGCAAAGAAACGAACGAACTTTATTTTCTTTTCGTGAGATTGTATTTTTGCGTGCCTAATTTTCCTCGATTCTGTTTTCCAAATTCACGTGTCTCTATGTTGCGCATTTTCCCTTTCACTTCACCTCCTGCTTGGCTATGTGCCGGCGCTGGATTCTTCCTTAAAGAGGAGGAGGTGTTGTGGAGAGAAAAAGCTAGTCTCTTTTCCCCCACTGCCTATCCTGTGACCCAGTGACCGTAATCCACCCCAGTTCAAATCACACCGGATTACGTGTCGTAATGTCTCCTCACTGATGGGATTTTCTCCCTAAATTATCGCTCTAATTCCTTTTTATCCTGGAAGCTGCTACGAATAAACTTCTAACGTTTATTCGCCACAAGTTATCCATCAAGCACAAGAGGCAAGCACACTCGCGGACACAACAAATCCCATCGACGCCTACCTGGCGCAACAATCGCTCAATTCAGTTAAATCTTAATTTGCGACTTTCGAATTTTCATCAGATTGAATTTTTGAAAAACGGGCTTTTAGCATGCCGCTCAACCCTCGGTGATTCTACCACGATGGCGGTTTCGTTCAAGAATCGTCCAACAGTTTGAGAAACAAAACACTATTAACATTTCGGCAAACCACTGCATGAACTAATGCTATTCGAATCGCCTATTCAAAACAACTCGCTAAGCTCGGAAAAAGGGCAAAAAGGCCTATCGAAGGCTTCACCAAAGGTATTGACTCAAACTTAGTGTTGCACGATAAACCCTGAAGCCGATAATGTTCACCATCGCCCAAATCGGCTCAAAAACTACTGCGAGGCAGACTTGAAGAAAAAGAAGAAGAAGAAACAGACAGAAAAAACCTTGCACCATCCCTATCGAAAATCTCTCGAAAGTTCACAAGGATCAGTTTTAATCAATGGAGTAAGGCGGCTGCAGTCGTATCCAAAAATCCTGCGAGGAGGCCAAAATCTACAAATGTGTTCATCGAATCACTGCATTCGGGCTCTCCGAAGCCAAGGTGGGGGGTATCGGGGCCATTCCCAGCAAAAATGAGCGATAACCAACCAAAGAAGCAACACAAAAGCGTGTCTGAATCGGTACAGAGTGCAAAACGCACCTTAAGCTCGCAAAAGGGTGATATAGCCAAAGCACCCAGAATCATAGCGATTTTTAGAACCGAGGCCTATAATAAAGAATTACCAACAAACAGTCGGATCTTCGCTTGATTCAACATGCAGTACTTCGGCCCCAAGTTCTGGCACCAGAGTAAACGCGTTGGAAATTGATATCGATCGGATTGATAAAATGATTGATATATATCCCCTAGCGAACCAAAAAAGCGGTAAAAAGTGACAGCTCAAATTGATTCCCGGCCCAAAGGGCTCGCTAGAGCTGCGAAGAAAAAAGTTTTTTCGCAATCCTAACTTCACGGCATCGGTTGCCCGGCCTGTAACAAAATACCCTAAAAAGGTCGGACTCTCTCGGGACCATTGCCAGAACTGATCAAGCAGAAGAATCACGCGCACTGAAAACGCCGTACCAAGGAGCAAGCCGACAAAAAATGAGTTAAAAATTTCAAATGCTGCTTAATCGAAGAGAGAGAGAGAGAGAGAGAGAGAGAGAGAGAGAAAGAGAGAGAGAGAGAGAGAGAGAGAGAGAGAGAGAAAGAGAGAGAGGGAGAAAGCACCGTCACGAAGAGGCGTCCGACGCAGAGCACGTTCCAGGATACTAAGAAAAACGTAAGCCTACACACCAAGCTTCCACAAAAAAGTACTTTTAGATCCAGAAAAAAAAAAGAGAAAAAGTGCTCGCCAACCTGGCGTTCCAACACATCTATGTGCTATACCAATGGGCCGATTGTGATGAATTTTGCAAGATATGTGCATACTCGGGACACGATTGGAAGGACTGTAAGTCCAAGGTATCACAAAAATGTTTCACAAGGGTTTTTATGCAGGGTGGGACTTCGCAATGATATAAATCTTGAACCGATTGACAAAGATTTATATTCTTTTGTGCAACTTTTTAATATTGCAATATTTTAATCTTTGATTTAAAACTTTACCTATTATTTCCGACGCGTGATCGAATGGCGTCAAGACAATCCAAAAAATAGCGCAAATGTCGAAAATTTTCCCTGCATCGGAGGATGGGGGATTGAACCGTAGCCCTAGCACTCTCATAAAAGACTTAAAGATTGCTTCGTAAAACCCTAAAATAGTCTAGTTTTTCGAATTTCGTCATTCCGCCATTTTTTTCACTTTGAAATGAGCAAAAAATGTCTGCACAAGCCAGGCTCTGTATCTTTCCAAATTCCCACCCGGAGTAACCTCGCTTTAGTATTTGAGCCACGCAGAAAGTCGCGCCCGTGCATTTCGAAGCCGTGGGCGCACGTGTGTTCATCAACCCATGAGGCGCTTGCTCCTGTTTCAAATTCGCCCACACTTTACAGTAAAGTAAGTCCGTGGTACCGCAAAAGGGTGAGGGGCAAGATTTTATAAACCCGGAAACGTTTAGTCATTAATGGAAAGTACTTTATTAGTGCTTTGCGTAAAATATAATCGGGATTTCACCTAAAACAACGTCGAAGCTAACTTTCTTCAACAACGGCCGTCTTTGGTTGCAAAACGGCATTTTTGATATTTTTTCATAACATTTATTGGGTTTTTGCGTTCAGAAATGGTGAAAGCCGCTTAGAAGCATTTCCCATTTTTATATTTAAATTTCAGCCTGAGAAAATGCTAGTGCTCCCCCTGCCCCCAAATGCACAAGAACCGCAAATTTTAATCCAATTTTTAGATATGCAATTCACGTCGTCGCTTTGGGCAAGACTGACGAAACGGTGGCAGTATAATATGTTTTTTTTTGCGAGCATGAGCCGGAAATCTGCATTCTTATGATAAATTGCGTGCATAAAAATGTGGAGAAATTCGAAGGATTTCAAAAACACAAAAACCATTGTATTTTGAAGGCTAAAAAACCACAAAGCAAGCTTTGCCAAAGACCTTCTGGGCTTTCATAACCTCAGTCGGTATTTTTCGACGTATTCGACATATCCTAATTCGGCGACAATTAAAGCTCAGGTTTTTTTAAAAGGCTTGCCCTCCAACCCCGCCCACTTCCCGTTCGGCAGCTAGCAAAAAACCGCAGAGAAATCGATAAGACATGCCAGCCATTGTTGATGCATCGTCAGTGCTACATTTCCGAGGCTGTACGATCGGTTTTCTCGAATTCATTGTCTCAACTTTGTGCTTTTAATTTATTGACAAAATGAATCAAATTTTGTGTTTGGTCCAACTAATTTAAAAGTTTCTAACTCTAGATAGCCATAACCTTGAAATTTGGCAAATTGAATCCCCATAAAATTCTAAAATTTGCTGCAACTTTCTGGGATTCAGTTAGTACGATTAATATCTTTGTATATGCTCACCCTATTTCTCTACTATCTCTCGCTCTCGCTCTCTCTCTCTCTCTCTCTCTCTCTCTCTATTTCTCTCTCTTTCCCACTCTCTCACTCTCTCTCGCTCTATTTATCGCTCACCCGTCTTTCTCGCTCCATTTATTTCTCCCGCTCTCCCCCTCTGCCTCTCTCTCTCTCACGCTCTCTCTCTCTCTCTCTCCTCTCTCTTTCTTTCTCTCTCTTCCCGTATTATTTCTCTAAACTCTGCTTTTAGATCAGCACCTCAAGCCTGGGCAATTCCATCACAAACGGGCGATTTCATTAATGAGTCGCCTAACATATTGAAACCCTAACTAAAAGAGGTTTTGAACAACATGAAAGTACACAGCAAGTTATTATGAGCAATTTTTGCAACGATCTTTGGCAAGCAAAATCAAATTTGCACCGATGGCCCCCGCGGAGAACGGCACAGAAAAGATCAACAGATTGAATGCCAGCTACCCGTGGAGGTCGACAGGTGCGGATCGAAGAATCTCCAAAATTACGACTCAAGGCTGCTTAATAACCACAACATGAAAATGTAATGTGGTGTTTGAAGGCATCAAAGTATAGATATGCGGAGCAAGCACCCAGACGGACTTCGTCATAGGTCGAACCAAACGAGGGTGAACTTGACAACGGTGTACCGGACCGGTAGCTGCTTTCAGCTTTTGAGTGAACTCAGAAGTTTTCGAGAAAAAATATTATGAAATATACGAGGACGAAGGTTTGGATCATTTATCGGAATGAAGCAAAATTTCCCCAAGTTTCGGGAAATGCGCTGCATCGAAAGTGAGCCGTCGATCTCGAGGAGCACGAGCCCGTCAGCAAGCCTGCGACTGAGCCATCGGGAAGGCGGGCAGTTATTGATCATACTTTATGGAAAGAGACAGAAGGTATATGAAAAATTGGAAGATGGAAAATCACAGCTAGGGGCAACGGATTGAGCCGAAAAAACGGGGGGAGAACCCAAGAAAGTCATAAGCCTTCATCGGAGTGATCCCAACCTACCGAGCAAGAGCTTTCAGAATTCCAAGAATTGTGTCATGAATCAGACAAGCTAAATTAAAGCTGAAACTCAGGAGCACCAGAAAAAATGATACCTTAAGTGGTCGCCCGAAAACAAGCTAAAAACCCCATGAGATGACTTGCGCACCACACCGTGGATGGGCGTAAGCTCTTTGTTTTTTTCGGGCTTGACTAGGCAACACAGCGAACTGATCAGATAAACCATGCGGAAATTTTTCTCATAAATGTGCAAATGGGAGATCGGGATTTCAAAAAAGGTGAAATCATCGCATGGACCCAGGGAACCAACGACTGCTAATGGATGGCCACCATCAGTCTCTCGTCAGCTATATGTTCCATTCGAGGGCATCGAAAAATGCTTGTGAGCACGAAAACCTCGCACTCTTGCTACCGGCCGATTGTTGTCAATGAAAATTGAATAAGTTGGGTCAAGCCAATATGCAGAAAAATGGCAACGAAAGGAAGCCACGTTTATGCTTCAGAACTGGAGTGCAAAGCTTGTACAAAGGATCAAATCTTCAAAGTGACCCAACCAGCATCCCCACGAACACCCCGACAAATTTTATGTTTTCGAATTCAAGAGCGTCCACAGATTCTTGGGAGCCCGAAAGCCTCGGATCGCTGTTGCCGCTTGGCAATGAAAGTTGAATAAATTTAGTCGAGCCAATATGCAGAACGCCGGGAACAAAGTTTTGAAGGCTTGTTTATGTAGCAGAACGGCATTCCAAAGATTATACAAATGATAAAATCGGCAAAAGAACCCAGTCGCGAAATAGTTGCCAGTGGATGCCAATGAAAGGTCAAACCAAATTTGTATTTTCCAAGTCAAGAGCGCCCAAAAATTCTTGGGAACAAGAACACCTCCAACTACTTTGTCCAGCCAATGGATGTCATGAATAATTGCGACAAAAAAATCACGTCTATACGACGATCCGGAACTTTGTAAAGCATGTTTTAGTTTAACGCTGCCTCTAATGAGAATGAATTCTGCTGAGCCGTTATGCAGAGCCCTGGAAGCCAAATTGGGGAGGCCCGCTTTTACAGCAGAACTGGTACCATTCCGAAAAACGATTAAAACGGCAAACTAACCCAACGAATAAACTCATGCCCGTGGAAGACCGCGAAATATCTCTAAAAATTCATATTTTCGACAGCGAGAACGCTCAAAGATGCTTGTGAGCAGGCAAACCTCAAACCGCTGTCGATGCTTGGTTGATGGCAATGAAAAGTGAATAAATTTAGTCGAGCCAATATGCAGAACGCAACAAAGTTTGAAGGCCCGTTTATGCTGCATAACTAAAGTTCAAAACTTGTACCAAGGATCAAATCGGCAAAAGAACCCAGTCGAGAAACAGTTGCCAGTGGATGCCAATGAACGGTCAAACCGCCAGAAAGAACACGCCAGAGACAAAATTCCTAAGGCCCGTTTTTACAGGAGAACTGAGGCGCAACGTTTTTAAAAACGATAAAAACAGCGAAATAACCCTACAAATAAACCGATGCCAGTGGATCGCCACAGACATTCCGACAAAATTTATATTTTCCATTCAAAGGCGTCCTAAAATTCTTGTGAGCACGGAAGCCTGGCGCTACTTCTTTAGGCCGGACGATTTCAGGGATTTCTGAATAAATTAAGTCGATCCAATAAAAAGAAAGCCAGGAAGCACTTTTGAAGAACTGGAGGGCCACATTTTAAAAACGAAAAAATCCCGAAAGCAGCCCAGTCAAGAAACAACTGCCAGTGGATCCCAACGAACGGCCAAACCAAATTTATATTTTCTATTCAACGCCGTCCAAAAATCCTTAGGAACAAGGAAGCGTCGGCTGCGCCCTGCAGACGAAACGGTGCAATTTTGCATTTATTTTGACGCATAGCAAGATTCTGAGATGGAACTACACGAAGAAAATGGGTTAAAGAAGACGGAAACTCTGACGTCAAGGGGTGAAGGAGTTCAATACAGTTGTGTCGTACAATCGTGCTTGTTAAAACAGAAAAACTGGATCCGAGGTTGAACATTTTCTAGCCAACAACTGCAGAGGGACCGTATGCTGATGAGGAAAATCATTTAGAAAAACCGTTAAGGCGCTCAAAACCCTCTTAAGAAAAAGTGTGGGGAAGAAATTTTACGCGTAACTAATACAAGACATTTCCGCGGCACTGGCGATTAAAAGGATCGCGAAAAAACAAACCACTGAACAAACCACGGAATTTTTCATTTATTTTATCGAAAACG